TACAATAAACCACTCACCGGTTACTTCTTGCCGTTTACCTTCCATCTGGGGATTTGGGCTGATGATTAGAGTGATCCGAGTACCCCCCCACTACATAGACCGCTTCATGTCTAACAGTCGAATCTACATTGTCCGAAGGAAAGGCGTATGCCGTAGCTGAAGGACCACTAATGAGAACAGAGGAAAACAGCCGATCCGAAATTGTCGGTCACTAAGATCCCTCATACGAACGGCTAGTAACGGCAAAACTTGCCCGACCTCTGGGTTTACCTTCTGTCGCCCTATGCCTGGGTAAGTCGTGTGGCGGCCTGCATTCGATATTGCTGTGTTGATTCATTCCGCTGTCACTCTCTAAGCTTTTTAAGTACTCCGCGCGCCCAGTGCTGACTCATCCTCTCTTTTCTGCGCGCTCTTGTACTTTCGCGCGCCCCCGCTGTCAACGCACGTACGCCCGAAGCTGATTGATGCCTCGCGAACTTGACACTAACACCTTTGCACTTTTTCTTGATTGGTTGAGGACTGGACAGGTTTGACTAGTCCTGCGCGCATCGGCCCACGCACACAGACACTATGTCACCGCCTCAATTGCATTTGCCGACGATTATTACTGTTGTGTCTCTTTATTCAATATTATCCCTTATAACACCTCTATGTGTTATGCTATTATTATTACTCGCTAGACGCTTTGTTAGTTCGTATGGACATCGACGTTCGACAGTTGATTAAAGCTGAGGAATAGGTCGCCTGCAAGCCAGGCACGCAAATTACGAAGTTGAGCTAAATTTGGCAGAGTACCCTGTGGCTTTAACCTCTTGAGTAAAGAGGACACTTTAGCGCATTAAGCATTTTCAAGGAGATCTGAAAACCTTATTCCTGGGTGTATTTACGAATGCGTAAAAAGATTGTGTAAGTGTTTCAATTTATGGATATAATTAGTTCTGCGAGACGACAATAAGGTGCGTATAAAAGACTGAACGCTCGCGTCCTTTAACCACAGGGCGTAATCATTGTCATTCGACGAAATGGACTAACTAATATCAGGTGTCCTATATGTTTACTCCCAGTGAAGGTTCTTGGGGAACCGGAGGACAAAATGTGAAACATGGCATGCAGGAAAGGTAAAACCTGAAAAGTAATCCAATAAAGAGTCCAAAGTTAGCCGGAAAACAGCCTGAAATTCAGGAGGCCGCAAATGATTAGGTGGCTTTTTCTATCTATGTAGCAGAACTTACTCGCCAGTCTTTGAGATCGTTTACTTTTACAGCTACGATGTCGTTCGGTAGGGCTCGATTGATGGCCCTGGACGAGATGAGGATGCGGTGTCCGTCGGCCGGATTGATCACGAAGGCCGAATGACCGGATACAAAGTTGATCCGACCCTTGACAAGATAAGGAAGGAAAAGTCAGCGCCTTGCCTGGGATCCGTCAAAATTAATGCGTATAGTGTTGATGGGATAAAAAAAAACAACGAACCTCGATGAGCTTATCCTGATTAAGAAGCCTGTTTACATAGTCAGGATGCCAATAGGAGTCAAAACCTCGAAATCGGGACTGAAATAGCAGAAGACAGAAAGAGCACTGTGAGCCTCCAAGAACTTTTAAACTTGAATGTCTTCGAGGTCCAATATGTAAAAGGAGTGCCTAACACAGAAGACCGCATATTTCCTTAAATACTTTACGGATACATTGAAGATTAAAGTAAATCCTCCACAATGAGTCTTACGAAGAAAGCCGGCGGCGAATGGACTAATAGGGAAGTGAAGTGACAAGAAAGCTTTACCGAGACGGAAAAAACGGCTTGTCGACTAACGCCTTCGGCCAAATTAGGATAACCTGTACCACGACTATGAACAAAGTTGGTTTTGGGACAACGTGTACCTGTTTAAGACATGATTCCAGACAAGGTAATACTATTTTCTGTATGGGAGACTGCGCAGTAAATGTTGATGGTGGAAGCGAACAGCGAGTTCCAGGAAGCAGTTCAGAAGTACAAGATGCGATCGCTAGAACGAGAACTTTTTTGCCTGACATTTCGGACTCTGGCTTGACATTATCATCAAATAACTACAGATAAGGAGAATGAAAGCATGGGTTAGGAAGTATTTATAGTCTGTAGCGGTTACGTGACTGCGTAACGTGTGCCTTAATCCCACTCTCCTGTGGTTAACTTTGATGATGGTTTCAAGTAAAAGTCCGAAACCTCAGGCGAATAAATAAATTTGTTCTACCGGTCGCATCTTCTACTTCTGTGCAGTAAATGCAGGCCCGTAATACAGTAGTCGCCGGTTATTAAGCCCACAGCTAATAAGCCCAGCCGCATATTAAGCCCAAGTCAGCTTGGGACGGAATTTC